ATTGTGTGTGTGATATGATGTACTGAGAAGTAGCGTTTGGTAACAAATTATGCTGTGTGTTCAGGAAAGGTCTGGCAAAAAAAAAGTTTTGATGTTTTTCTCAACCCAGTTGTCTTTTTTCCTTTATCAAACAAAGCCTACTGTCTAGAGACAACCAAACTTTAAGTCCCTTGAGGAAGACGTACATTCTTATGGCTAATGACATTTCTGAGATGATATTTTTGAAGGAGATTCTTTACCACTATTTACCAACATCCCTTGTTGAACAGTGATCTAAGACATCATTAGTTAACCTGCCCCTAATCTGGGGGGAGGTTGTTCGTATGGAGTCCAATTGTAAGTACGTGCTCCAAGTGTATAAGTTGAGCATTACTACATCTTGCTTTAGGATATAAAATTCCAAGCAGGGATTAAAGAAAGGGGGCAGAGCTGTTTGAGAAGTGAAAATACAGTGCAGCATAAGTGTGCTGGTTCAAAAAATGGGAACATAGTGATTCCATTGCAGAAAGCCCAGTGACATGCTGAAGAAAGTAAAGGAAGGCTGTTCTTTTAGGGCTTCTCTGTCCATATTTCTTCTACTTCAGTGCTCTGTGTTTTGATTTTTGAGTAGTTTGTGGAGGGGACAGGGGAAGACTGGAAGGAAACTAAGTTTTAGTGAAAACTGAAAGAAAAAAGACTTCAGTTAGAATACCAAGGCAAAACAAACTCAATTTATCTTTCAAAACTGATAATATTACTACAGAGTTAAGAAATTCTGCTGATTTACGATTTTCCACAATGATAAACAAACCCCAAAGTACTGGTTAGAAAATAATTGCAAATGTTGTTTTCCTCTGTAGGTATAACAGTGTTTCAAACTCGTGCTGTTTTAGCCTCTTAGCATTGCATAATGTAGTCAGTTTGTGTTTTCCAAAGCTTCTCAATTAAGTTGAGTGCTCAGAAATTTCCATGACCTTTAGGTTCTTTTGTAGACTACGTTGTTTTGCAGAGAGTGTGATAGAATTTGTGGTTTATTTCCAGTGTAGTGTTTCTTTCATGGAAAAGATGTCACAAAGTAAAAAGGCTGTGGTTTTGAGTCCTGTTTCTGAGCATTTAGTATAATGGTGGGTTGTTGTAACTTTTAAAAAGCATCTTAACATACAAGGACATATTTTTTAGGTAGCTTACCAAAAAACAGTGAGCAGCAAAATACTGTCATTTTGAAGTACCATTAAACTGAACACAGAGAAAAGATAAAGAAATAAAAGCCCCTTAGTGAAAGGCAGTTTGTTGCAGAGTGTAGAAAAAGGCATCTGTCTTATATTCACAAACATAATCGATGTTCACTGTGCTGCTCATGGTTCTTGATTCAGTTTTATTGATCACAGTATGTATGACTTGCTAGTTTTCTTTCTAATGCTGGTGCTAAGAAGATGAGCATCAGCCTGTGAATGAATCAATCCCTGCTCCACTGGAATCTGCCAGGGTGGGTGGCAGTGGCTAAGATTGGCAGGAAGGAGACTTTCCAAGAAACCTCGTTGCATGGGCTGCCTTAGTAGACACAGCACTGTATTCATGCAGTGTTTACCATCCAGACCCAAAACAGTTCACATCGTTTGTCTTCAAGCATACACAGAAGCCTCAGGTCTTTCTGGTGCTGCCTGTTTATGTATTTAGAAGTCTGAGCTATTTGTCAGAGCTATTTTACTTTAAGCCCTCACTGAACCCTGGTGACTGGTCAGGTCAGAACACAGCTTGTAAAAAAAATCTTGTCTCCACTGTTTAATATTTAGTGCTTATTAAGCTTCATGGTGACTCATGTATGCATCTATGTTGGATTTGATGTTTTACTCTGTTTTGTTTAACGTTCCCATTGAAGTCTTGCTTGCATTTAGCATAAGTGCATCAAATATTCTGAAAGCAAGAAGTGCTCCTGCAATCTGAACTAGTGTTTTGTTTTGTTTTGTTTTTTTTTTTTGCAACCTGATGCAAAAATACACTGTTTGTAAATAATGTCCTGAAACAGAAATTTGATTGAGGAAATGCAGAAGATCCTATTGAATGTAGACTGAATTTGCATATAAATAGTGCAGGAGAGAACTAAGGACGTTCAGCTATCATTTTGAAGTTATGATATGAACTTTGATTAGTAGGCGTCTTAAATTGATGTGATATTTAATGTTTTTAAATGCAAATTAATAAAAATATATCTGTATATGAAAGAGCTAATAAGAAAAAAACAAAGACAGGAACCAAGAAGCTACATGAGATGAAATAATGATAGTGAAAAGGGAGGACAAGCTTCAGCTACGCTTTTCTTTCTCTTATGTTGGTTTTTAGATATGCAGATTTTTGATGCTTCATTTTACCTGGACTGTGGGAGATGCTTTTCTACAGAAGGTTTTATTGCCATCCATTGCTACTCCATCTGTTCTATGAGGGAGTGAAATCTATGAAGAAATGGATTTGAATGAATTTGGGAGGCTTTTTCTTTGTGTACAGTGTGTGCAGGTATTGCAGTTGCTGTTCCATAGACTCCCAGACAAGCAGTTAATGTATTCATAGCATAGAATGCAACACATTGCATGGACTGTTTCCTCTTAGGTTACCATGTAAAAGCCTACTAAACAGAAATGCATTCTCCCTATATGATTTCAAGGAAAGGTTGTGCTGGCTTTAGGGGAAAGGTGTTGTGATAGTGAAGCTATTGATTCCTTTTCTACAGAGGCTCTGTGTGGTACAGGGAGGAACTGAGAACAAGTGTTTCATGCACTGCAGCTTCTGTCATATAAATGAAGACATCTTTGTGGCTTGAAACTTTTAACAGTTCACAGTGATATGTTTTTACTGCTGAAACTTGTTAAGTGTGTTCATGGCCTTTTATGACATGGAACTCTTGTGACTGGCAGGTGGGTGCATCTTGGTTGGGCTGCTGAATTTATACATGGTTTATGCTGAAAATAATAAGAACTACAAAGGTTTGACAGTGTTAATGGAACATCTTGCTTCATTCTTGGTGAATTGGATTAGGCCAAGAGTTTGCTCTTTTTCTGATTTTGAAACTGTTTTTTCTTCTTTCTGTACATCACTCTCCTTTTTTTCCCCTAATCTGATATAAATATTCCTAATAGTGATGTTCATTAGTATACAGAATCACAGAATGGCCAGGGTTGGAAGGGACCTCAAGGATCATGAATCTTCAACCCCCTTGCTACATGCACGGCCACCAACCTCCACATTCAATGCTAGACCAGGCTGCCCAGGGCCCCATCCAACCTGGCCTTGAACACCTCCAGGGATGGGGCATCCACAACCTCTCTGGGCAGCTGTTCCAGCACCTCACCACTCCCTCTGTAAAGAATTTCCCCTGACGTCCAACCTAAGTCTCCCCTCCATCAACTTAAAACCGTTTCCCCTCTTCCTGCAGTTATCTACCCTTTCAAAGAGTTGATAGAAACACTGAATTGTTTTCTTGCTGACTGGGTTGAAGGAGAGAGTCTTTCATTTGTTCCATTTTTGTTTTGACATGAGATTGGTGTTTTTTTCCATTTTTTTCTATTGGAAGACAAAATCAGATATAGGTATGTTTGCTGTATACTTAAAATAGTGAGAGATTTAACTGTTATTTTTGATGACTCCTTTGTAGCCTTTGACCTATTGTAGAAGAGGCCAGTGTTTGATTCAATTTAGTAGTGTGATCTTTATCAACAGAAGTAATTAAAAAAAAAAACAACTCCACAAACTTCTAAATATTTCTCTTGTTTAACATAAATACATCTTTCAGTTGCTGTTTTTGTGTATTAGTTTCATTTTACTTGCTTCTTAGGTTAAGTGACTGATAATGAATAGAAAAGCATTGTTTCTTTGGAAACAATGTTAATAGAGACTGATGGAAAGATTTTTCTTTTCTAGTGTTTGCAGTGAAAAGTATGGTGTAGTTGAAGGATATTCATGTGTATGCCAATACATCCTTGATGAGAGCATTTGTAAACATACTCAAATTGTTACGAACTTTCTTCCACTTTTCATGTCAATTCAGATGAGGCACCTTAACAGTGATTGATGTTTTCACTCTATTCATTTTTCATTGACATACATGATTTAAAAATAACTCAATACTTAAGATATTCTGAATAGTATCAAGCATGACACAAATTTTCCTATCCAAGGAGATGTAAACTGTTCTGATCGATACAAGAGCGCTGGACTATTTGAGATGGATTATCTTCATTCCTTTATTTGAAAAGATTTCTGTCTTTTCAAGAAAAATAGCTGTTCTAGGAATTCTGTACGATAGAATTTTTACAGTAGTTTGTATGTGCTTCTGCAGGTGATGGAGTTCAGTTCTCTGAATGTATTCAGATGTCATTAGATTGTGAACATACAGAAAGGTTCAGTTCTGGAAATTTATTTGCTCGTTTGAGTGAATGCAGATACTCATTGCACAAGTATCTTCTGTCTAAATGCAACTTAAATATAATTGTATCTCAATGAAATTGTGATCTAAACTAGAAATATACATTTCCTTCCAAATGAACTACTTGGACTTTTCTCTTTAGTGGAGATTCATGTTTTGTACGTCCTGATTCTCTTGTGTTAATAATTCAAAATAGAGTGAAGGCAATTATTCTGTTTTGTTAATGGAACCTGCTTTTCTTGCTTGATTGTTAGAAAACATCTCTATGCACTTTTGTACATTTTCTCCCTCTATGTAGGCCAGGGATAATGCATTTTTCTTTATTTTTGATGAGTTGCAACCTCCTGGCATCTTGTGTAATATTGGGATAGCTGTGTAATGTTCCTGTACAAAGAAATAAGGGCTAACAGAAATGGTCTTACATTAACAAAAAAAAGTAACCAAAATCAAGTAAGCAAAAAATTCATGAAATAATGCGATGTTTCAAATGTTAATAATTTTGTGAATAGCTGATTTATTGATAACTGCAAAGCTTAATTTTTTATATGCTAGAAAGTAGGAATTGTTTGATATTTCATAATACATATTTGTCTTTTTCTTCTAGATAACTCTGCTGAAGCAGATTTATGGTTGCTGAACAGCTGTACAGTAAAAAATCCAGCTGAAGACCACTTCAGAAACTCAATCAAGTAAGTTGAAACATCTGTCTCTCAGGATTGAAGTATGAGTGAATATATAGTTTAATTTCGATAATTCCTATTTTCAATAGAGAAGTAATTATGTATTTTAGAACAACAACAAAAAAAAAGCCTGCTCAGTATGAATGCTACAGTGGTAAGTTCTCTAGAATGGATGTGTGTTTTTTTCAGATTTGATAACTTAGATTATCAGTACACTTCTCTAGGAGAACTGTTTATCTATTAGATGTTTCTGTATTTCTTTTCATGATAGCGTTATTTTCTTCAGAAGAACTTTTAAGTGATTTGCTAGGCTATTTCTTTATAATTTAATTGTATGTAATCAGTCTCTTCTAATTAAAATGCTATATGGTACGTACTTAAAACTACTTTGCTTTTTCTCAAAAGGTGAATTTACCTGTCATTAACAGTAGTCTTCTGAAGATTGTTTTCTATTTCTCTAGCATTCCAGTGATGTTGATAAGTATGACATGGTAGCAACTTCTGTCCCTGTGTCTGTCAAAATGTAGTTGTAATGGGGAGTGACTGGAAGTAACAACCTGTACACTTACAGCTGTGGTTGTGCAGCATAAATGTTTCAGTATGTTAGTTGTAAATTTTTGCCTTTATTAAGCAAGTGCAGATATTTGTGCAATTATTTGTTTGGTGTGATACGTTGCTGAAGGACTGTTTGTCAAAATCTATTTTGGTTAGAAGAACATATTTCATGCTCAGGAATTTAGAGAGACCAGAGAAGCTTCTTGCAGTGCTGAAACACATCCTAGGGCTGTAATGTGGAATAGTTTGCCCACAGGTGGCACAGTTAAAGTTTCCTCCACCCATCAGAGGGCTTTGTTTCCTGAGTGCTAATATTGCCCTCAGTGACTATAGTACCACTTTTTTCCCAAACAATTGTTTAAAAAAACAAAAACCAAAAACAACCAAAACCCTCTTCCCAGATACTTCCAGTTAGTGTGTTGGCTAACACAGCTGATGACAAGATTTTTTTCCAGTTGTGGACATCTTTCTCTTTTACTGATCATATGCCAGAACTGAATTGATGTGGTGTGTGTCCTGTAAACAGTGGAGTTGGATAAGGGTCTAGCTAAAAGCAGATGGCTAAAAGTATTTCCTTGAACTTTGTTTCTCTTGCTCTGTTAATGAACCTGATGCAATCTGTTGTCTGGGTTTATTCCTCTTTTGTTTCTGTATACTCCTTTCTTTTCTGACACACTAATAGTGTGATCATTCTTTGTTTCTTCTCTTCACAGAGAGTCATTCCTTTCCTACAGCATGCTTTATTTTATACTCTCTGATGCTGGTATTTTCTGATGATGGAGATGGACAACTGTGATTTTCGTTTCATGCCATTCTTTATAATGCTCACTAAATGTGGGTATGAGAATCATACATGCGTGTTCTAATGTGTTTGAGGAATATTTGATTTTTCTGTTCTGGCTCAGAAAATAGCAACTTGTACTTTTTTTTTTTGAGTTTTACAATGAGGTGATGAGACCTTGTAACTCCAAACAACAGGGTGCTTCCCAAATACATCTTAAATTGTTACAGCAGCAAACTGCACTTATGAAGTTTGGATGACACAAAATTAGGTCCTGTTGTGTCCTATCATAATGTTGGTTTGTAGCTTTGTTGTTGTTTTTAAGTTGAGTAACAAATTAAACGTTTATCTTATGGGCTGTCAAAGCAAAAAATACTTCTAATGGAAAAATTAGTACTCCACACAGGAAGAGTACCACTTTCTGCCTGAAAGTGTTGCATAGTGCTGTGAAAGTCGTCATAACATGTGAGAAAAGTATTTCAGTTTTGTTATGCTCTCTACCTCTGCTATATTTTCTCCTATGTATTTTTCATGGGTTTTGGTCTAATTAATATCCACCCTCTAGTACGTTTGAGGATGTTATTGTGAAGATGGAGCCAGACTGTTTTTAGAGGTGTGTGTTGGAAGGACAGGGGGCAACTGGCACAAACCAAAAGGCGTTTTTGGACTGGCTGTATGAAAGACATTTGGGGGGGAAAAAAAAAGCTGAAATCTTCAAGCCCTGGAAGACGTTTTTTGCAGAGGCTGTGCTGTCTTCATCCTTGCAACTTGCAACCAACTTCAAGAAGCCCTGAGCAACCTTGTCTTGCTCATAATTGATCATAATGAGGAGGAAGATGTCATAAGGAGACATCCTGAGATCTTTTCCAAGCTAAATTATCTTATGTTCTGTGAACTTCCATGAGTTTTCTGATAAGATATTCATGAGGTGTACCTTTCAGTATTGCTTTTTCTCCTCTGTCAATGGTGTTGTGATTATTTTAATTATGTACAGTCCTTTGATCTTTTAACCATCAGCTTTACCCAAAGGATAACTTAAAATTTAATTGGGGATATGGTATATTTACTAAAAGGAACATCTTTACTCATCAGCTGTCATGCATGTGTTAATTTGCTTTTTTGAGGGAATTGCTGCTGTTTTCTTGATGTTTGCTCTCACTGAAATAAATTTCAGTTAAAAAAAAAAATCCATTAATTTAGTAGATCTTGATATTGTGATTATATGTTTGTAGAATAATTGTACAGCAAGTTTTTGTCTGCTTCAAGGCGAGAAATATTCTTTTTAAATTTTTGAAAAATGTGCTTTGATGATTTATTTTTTAACTATCAAATTGTTTAAAGCTCTTATAATCCATTGGGCTAAGTGGTGAAGTAAAAGGTGTGAGTATTCTGCTTGCTACGCAATTTCTCTTAATCTATTGCTGTTGTTGCTGTTAAGTAGGGAAGGAGATTAGTCTTTAATAACTACAAAAGGTTGCTTGGAGGGAAGATATAGGAATGATTTTCTGCTGCTTTTCATCTTTGCAAGTGAAAATAACCCCAGAGGAAGGTTTTTTTTGTTGACAATTGCATATTGCCTTTATATTACTCATTTTGTGCAAATCAAACTCCTGTTTCTGTGAGCAAAAAAAAAAAAGCAACCAACCCCAGAAAAACAGAATTCCACACCAAATTGAAATAGGTACCACTTTCTTTAAATGATCTTTATACCTTTCACTAATTCTTTTCCAGCATAAACATAGTTGGTGACTTGTAATTTACTTATACTTTCAGTGAAAGTTTGTACCCTTGGAAGAGGAAACAGTGGTATTTCAGCACAAGTTATTTTGTTGATCCTGTTATCATAAGGTGATTATTTCTGCTGTGTTTGAGATGAGGGTTATAACCTTGTTTCATTGCATTATTTAGAAACAATATGTTGCCATGGGTTGGAGCATGTGTGTGAGTACCTAACTGGATAGGTCTAAGAACTGTAGTTAAGTGGTGCTGTATGAGTAATGTTATTGAAAGGCCTGTTATGCCTAGCTATCAACAGGCATAGTCAGCATGGGTTCACAAAAGGGAAGACTTGTCTTAGTATTTTGATATCCTTCTACAGAAAGATCACCTGCTCAGTAGCAGAGGGTTTTACAAGCATAGAACAAATCTTGTGCTAAAGTGAAAATCTTCACTAGAAAGGTAATGATATACAATCTTTAAAATATAGGGAAAGTGTGCCCTGAAAGTGTTTCTCAGAGTCTAATCTCAGGATTAGAAGAAGCTATAGCCATATGGCAAAGTGATGTGTTTCCTGACATGGAATAAATTCTATCAAAAGTGTATGGTTAAATTCATAGCAACTACTGTATATTTAAGTTCTTACCAGTGGGTTATTGCAATTAAAAAGCTAACATTTATTGAAGTCCCTTTGCAATGCTTAGAGTAGTTGAAATTGTTTTAAAATTAAACAAGAAATAATCACCATGAACGGGAGACTGGAGCCACATGTTACAACATATTTAAAAAACTACTTTTGTGTGTAAACTACTTTTATTTTTAACATTAGAATATTGTATTGCATTATTGTCTTGTCTCAGGCTGATAGGAGACACAGCCGTAGGTGAGGCATTCAGTGATGTATTCCTTAGTGGAAGGCTTTTTGCTACACTTGAGTGCATTTCAGATCTTGCATCCATCTCTGACATGAATGAAAATGTAAAAAACATACATGCATGCTGTTGTAAAAATGTAGAGAAAAAGAAGACCATGTAAAATTGAGTATTTTGATTGTATAGTGTTTATAAGATAAAGGATTGTGGGCTGCACGTGCTTGAATGTGTTGCATGATTATATTTTGCAAAGGAGATTTGCAAAAGCCTGGGTTATTACTGTGTATAAGTTAATGTTTAATATTTAACAAGGTAAAAGAAAACAATAACAAAAAGAGAAAACTGTTCAAGACATGATGTGTTCAGAAATTAACATTATTTTGGAAATATTTTCTACTTTCATGTGAAGGCATCTGAGAATATTTGAAGTACACTGATCTTGGTTAAGTAAAGAGCTTTTAGAGTTTAGATAGTGCTGTGGCCTTAGTTTGGCACTATGTGATAAGCATTTGATGTTTTTGGAGGCTGATTAGCTTTTAAATATTCTTTAAGCCTTGTGACCTAAAGGGACTTGTATGTAGTTGACGGCCATTTTAAAATAGAAAATATTACTGTGACGTGGGAAAACAGCTCTGTGCCATGACTTCATACATCTGAATTTGAACTTTCTGACTTAAGTGTAGTTACAGCTTCCTAGCTCTGTGCCTCCTGGAGTATCCATGTACTACAAGTTGTGGCTGTCAGGTGTGGTCCTGGATGACTGGAGGAAGGGTCACGTCACTCCCATTTACAAGAAAGGGAGCAAGGAGAACCCCGGGAACTGCAGGCTGGTGAGTCTCACCTCTGTACCTGGGAAAATCATGAACAGATCATCCTGGATGACATGCTTGATACATGAGGAAAGGGTGTGTGATCTGTGACAAGCCAGCACGGCTTCACCAGAGGAAGGTCATGCTTGACCAATCTGGTGGCCTTTTATGATGGGGTGACAGCATCGGTGGACAAGGGAAAGGCGACCGATGTCATTTACCTGGACTTTAGCAAGGCCTTTGACATGGTCCCCCACCACATCCTTATCTCCAAAC